ACTGTTATGATTACAAATGACAAATTAAATGACATATACATATTAAGAAAGTCGTATAGAAGTATAAAATTTTAAATAAATACGTGCATAAGCAGAGTTGCATTCCAATATTGTCTTTCTCCCTGCATCCCTGTAAAAGCAAAATTAAATTCTTAAATTTTTCAAACTATTTTTTACACAATCGTAACCGGATTCGGTACTTTTCATAAGAGAATGTTGCCATTAAAGCTATAGCTGAAATTGAAAGTCCATCGGTTGAGAATTGTAAGCACTAGAAATATAGGGCCAGCACTAAAAGATATAGATGCGGGAAAAACGCGGTAGGCAAGGTAAGGACCGAACCGCGATTTTCTTGAGGCATATAAAGAAAACGTCCTCTAATTAAACTTTCAAATTAAAATCCTTAACTATTTATAAGCAATCGCTTAAGACGCCACAAAAAAAAATTTGAAAAGGTACTCCTATCCTTAAAACTCATTTTGAGGTTTTTTATGATGTAAGGTACTTTAAGTCTATGCGGATGGAGGAGGACTTACGATAAACTTACCTTTCGCTTCAGCAACACGTTCCGAAACGATCTACGCTTGTCTGTTCATCTGTCAGTCCCTCTTTATGTCGATCACATGTCTGTGTGTATATATAGATTTCAATTTTTGATATATTTATGACCGAAAGACCCACGCTATTGAAAATACTTCGGATCGGACCACTTTTTCTACCACTTCCCATATAATGTTTGCCTTTGATAAATCGTTATAAGAAAAACGACATTATAATCCAGCAAAGCTGATCATTACACTACATCCCCTAGCACTGTTATCCGCTCGTTTTCATAATAATACACCAAAAATTACATATTATTTTTATGAAAGCCCGCATATTGCCCATGGATGTCCAAGACATCATGTGGCATAATCCACATCCGCAGTGTCCATCATAGAAAACTAAAAGCTATACTTTCCCTCCATATAGCGGCTTGCTTTTCATGATAACGTCCGCTTATATATTAAGGTCTAAGAAATAGGATTTACATGATCCAATTTCCCTGCTTTTTATTAATTTTTTTTTTTTGGTTAATTTCCTATTGTGAAGTAATTTTTATCGAAAAATAGTAAAAATTAAATATTCTTCTGAAAAATTAAATCAATTTAGAAGAAATATTATGAAAGATGAAGTGGGTTCCAAGAAATAGACCTATATGGTCCACTTAATTTTTATGTCAAATTACTACTACAAACACACCCAGGGTCTATATTAAGCCGAACGGACAGCCAGGCCTAGACTAGGATCCAGGATCAGGCAAGTATTGCATACGTCCACACGGAACGCATGTATGTGAACGTGTGAGACGGAAGGAATTCGGACGGACAGGATCTAAGCCTGCCTGTCTGTCTGTCCGTCCATCAAATAAAAGATGAGTCTAGGTTAAGTCCTTCTGGGCGCTACATTGGTTCGCATAAACTTAATCATCATTTTCTGAATCGAACTAACCCTGTCTATCAGTCCATCCGTCCGCCCGTCGGATTTCTGCCCATGTATTCGTGTGTTCAACCTAAAGATCGCAATTTTTGAGTTATTTTATTGAATAAGGTTTCCATCGGTCCGGGGATCGGTTTGGATCGGGTAGCTCAGCGGGACAAAATTAATGGTTTATTATTACCATGAATGAGAAGACAACAGAAACTTTTTTTTGTTCTTAGTGAAAAAACTGAAATAGCAGTAACAACAATTTTGAAAATTATATCCGTCTTTGACCGGATCTTCTTTGCCGAAAAGAATAAAAAAAAAAACCAAAAATTCCTACTCTATATTGTTGGATGAGCGTGACTGATTTTTTCCACTTCAGCAATGTATATATGAGAGTTTTTATCGTGTGTTATCTGTTGCAGTTTATAAGCAATGAATAAATAAAAGCAAAAAGCAGAGGAACTCCTACTTTATGACACCTTTTTGTGCGATTTCTTTCATCGTTCCGAGCAATGTTCAATAACAAGTTGCGCGCAAGAACTTTTAATGTTTTTCTGCCAACAAAAGAAGTTTTACCAAACATATTATATAGATGGGACAGACGGACATGCTTAAATCGATTCCAAATTTAATGCCAATCAAGAATATCTACATATGTACTTGGGCTACTCTATTTACAAAGCCTCTTCCTGGGCGTTTCAAATGCTTTGACAAAATGGATACACCCTTCACTGTACGAATGAGTGACGGATATAAAAAAATTTAATTTGAACCTGAAAGGATATATTTTCATATTTACTTTCTTTAATAAAGCAATTAAAAAACAGTGAATCAGATGTGCCTACGGCTTAATAAAAAAGTACACGTTTGATGTGCATACGAGTCGCGAATGAGAATTTAAATTGAATTCCAAGCATTTTCTTCTCGTTGAAAAAAGTTGCATAAAATTCCGAAAAACGGTTGAAATTTTTTGCTTTTGCTTTTTTTGCTTTTGGTTGTTTCAACTTCATAAAGCATATTCCACGAACAATTAAAAAATAAAATCGCCTTACTATTGTCGTAAAAGGGAAAAAACTCCATTATTTTAATATCTTTCTGCATATTTACTTTTTATAGGCTCCAATGTTAAAAAGTAAGGCATAGAATAGAAAAAAAATAGGTCAAAAAGTCATAGTATCTGCTCTAACATAGCCATGCCTGTCTGTCGTCTCCTTGTTCGGACTTTATCCGGAACCACTTTATTATACCCGACATCACTTGTGATACAGAGTATATTAAATTAGTGCGGACGTAAGCAACATCCACAAGGGCTTAAGGTGGACCTACCTTTTATCCACCACCGATCGATGCAGAATCATAATTTGAATTGATCTGTCGGTCTGCCCGTCTGAGGTCTTTCCCAGCAAAATTTTTGTTCAAGCTAGAACTCGCAACTTTTGAAGTATTTCGATGAAATTTGGTACAGACGAACGCTATTGAAAATGATTCGGATCGGTCCGTCCTCATATAACGCCCTCTTCTGAAAAGTCGTTATATGGAAAAAAATAACAATTTGAATAGCTGTAGTAATCAGCGAACGAGCAACCGAGTAGATAAAAATCGCGGTTATCAAGACTATGGTCTCGTGTTGTTCAAATCTCAGTGCGGCAGAGTTTACTTTAGTAGCATTGCACATTAGACTGCGGCCACCCTCATAGCACTTTCTCTTCAATCATCGTCACCGCGTTACACGAATCAAAAACATTCCATGAATGACTGCTCATATCGTGTGCCCACTTTTACGGGATTCCCTCTGCCAGTATATCGTAAATGTCAACCACGAATGTACAGTATACCACATAAGTGCATCCAAAGACACATTTTTCAAGCCATTTAATATCTTGGAACATACTTGTACGTAAAACACCTTATAAGCAGATGCATTATAGAAAAAGTGTCAAAACTTGCGCTTCCGGAAATGACATTACAAAAATACAGTCTTTTGTGCACATTTATTATTTTCTGAAAGCTATGGTATTTTCCGATGACAAAATAATTTCGTCACTGTAGGGTCTCTACAATTTCCATATGCCAATCCCTATGCGCCTATAACATCCCAGTGTAAAAAATTCTTGGTTTCGTCCTCTTTTTTATAATCTTCATGGAAAAATATTTGTATGAAAGTATATAGAGAGACCGTATACTTATGGAGAACATACCACAATTGAGGTACGTTTGCTTTCTTTCCATTCGCTGAAATCCCGATTGCCAAATCAAAATTTTATCTAGGAAAACAAATTCTGTTTCAAAATTATTCTTATTACTCAAGCAAAGAGAAATCGAAGCTTGATTTCCTTCCTAAGTTGTTCTGTGGAAATGATGAAATTTTCAACGATCTATATATAAACAGTTTTCGTTGTCATAGGTAAACTCATTGCTAGCTAGTACGTACTTTGTTCTGGAGCGAGTATCCAGCGAACTGGGGTATCAACCATAACTCTAAACTAAAACTTAACATTCATATTGAGAGGTCCGTTAATGGACCTAAGTTTCTTCTCGGGTTCCTTGGAAGGTACGACGATGCTATATCACGAATAGGTTATATACACCCACGGTTAGAACAAAATGCAGTTGTAGTGTGTATACCGAGCTACGGATACTTAGATCTTGTAGAGTCCGTTCATTGGCAATTTCTACTGTTTATGTTGGGCAGCTTGGATTGGGATCTCCTCCGCATGAGAGTAACCTAAGGTTTATTGATTTATCGCTGTTTCAAAGAAGAAGGAAAATGTTGGGCATGGTGTTTATGGCTAAATTAATGAAGGGTGATATTTCTGCTCCGGCATTGTCGGAATGTAACTGGATATGAGTACCTGAAGATATATGAATAGTCAAAGCCAACTGTGTAACAGTGTATGAATGGTAAGATATGCTCCCAGATTCGAACTCACGACCACCGTTTGGGCAATAGTAAGCCTTATCCCATGGCCTATGCGATATAGTCGCCTCAATCGGCGGAATCTTCCGCCCTACACCGTGCGTGAATCATTGATAGATTTTACCAAAACCGAATATCAGTTCTTTACAATTTTATTTACACAGTAAGAATTGTTTCCTCAACGGCTTGCCAGGTGTTGCGATCCTTCTTAGCAATGGTCATGTTGCTGTCCACTATATCACGCATGCAATTGCAACTTCTTTGTTGCTTTTATGGAAGCATGTATAGGCATCTGCGTTGTAGTTGCGGCCACATGTTAGTGAACCACTTTTTATGTAACAAGGCTTGAGCATGTCTATCAAACTTAGTTTTATATAAACACACCATTACATCAATTTTATTTAGCCAACAATGGTGGTAAGTCTCTCTATGTTCTCTTCTATCTAAAGCTGTTAACTAAATAAATTTTGTGGCAACTTTGGGATATAAGAGGACTGGAAATGAAATTTAAGTGCTTAAAAAGGCTGAGAATTTACGATGATAGAAGCTATTAAGAGCTTAGGCATCATACGCTTTCCTTCACTTAATCTCTTCTGATCGTTTCTTTTCTTTGCAGCAATCACGATGAATATTTTGGAATTTTATTTGCTACAAATGTTGGCTTTTATGTTCGGACCCAGCCTGGCCTTGAAGAGCTCATCAGCATTCGCTTATTCATCAATAACGTCATCATCGTGCGGGCCGAATTTTCCCAACAGTTGTTGGTGCGGTCACGAGGAATACGAGTTAACACTGCAGTACATTGTTAATTGCACTAATGCCGGGCTGCGGAATACAAGCGTTTTAGAATTTATGCCTGATGAGGTGCAAATTCTCATCTTCACTGGTAACAATATACCCGAATTACCCTGGAATGTATTCGGTTCGATAAATAATTATAAGAAATTGAAAATAGTCGACATGAGTAACAATCATATACGCGAAATACGTGGAAAATCGTATCATCATGTGCAGAACGTGGAACGTTTAATATTAAATCATAACAATTTGAGTATATCACGCGATGACGACGAAGTGAATCATCATCATCCTCGAGTCTTCTCCAATTTCCTCAATTTGCAAAGTCTTCATCTAACGGACGCTTTCGATGACAACACTTCGCCGCAGCTAAGCGAAGATTTGCATGACATATTCATGAATAGCCAGTTGGTGAAATTGCAGAAATTGCATTTGGAACAGAACGAGATTACAAACTTTAAGGATCGCCGTGTTTTTTGCGATTTACCCAATTTAAGGGATCTGCATTTGGGTGATAATTACCTAAAGGATATCAATTTCGAGGTCCATTGTTTAAAGAATTTACGTTTCTTAGATCTGGAAAGGAATAAATTTGAATTTGTTAAGACCCATGATCTAATGTTACTCAATGAATTGAACGAATTACCGAATCGAACCACCGAACTGGTTGTCGACTTTAATCTTAATCCATTCGTTTGCGATTGCAAGATCAGTTCTTTTCGCACTTGGATTGATTCAACGAACGTAACCGTACGTAATAAACAGGCCTTGATGTGCTATCAAAATAAAGTCGATCCCTTACCAATTACGGAATTGGATATGTCGGAATGTGCTGCCGCTGTCGCGGCCGCGACAATTATGTTTAATACTGCCACTCAAGATCATTACAGTTTATCAATGCACAGCCAGAATGGTATGGCTCGACATACTGCAACTTTAATATTCCTGTTAATCGTTTTAAGTATGATTCTGTTGGGCTTAGTCGTCGCATTGATTTACGTAAGTCGTGACAAATTGAAATTTATGATTACACCGGTATTCGATAATGTAGCCAAAAAGGTCCAATATACCTCGATTAAGGATGAAGATTGCCCCGAGGTACATGTCTAGAGTTAATTCATTAGGAACTTTAATGCGATTACGCTGACGAACATGGCCCACATATCTGTTCCATCTTAATCATATAATACTTTTTAATCATAATACTATCTATGTAAATGAAAATCCAAAACAAAACAAAATGTACATTAGTATGAATTCCCATATAATAGAACAAGAAAACAAACAAACAAAAAAAAAAAAAAAACACTTTGTGCCATTAAGTGAGATATAAGATTTAAAAAAAAGAAGTTAAAGTAAAAATATGTCTTTTCTGTTTAAATCCCTCCGACCTATATATGACATCAAAAAATCACACATATCGTATATCACACTGGAAGTGTTTTACAACAAATTAAGGCTGATGTCCTTTTCTAATCATTTCCAATTTATTATGTTATTACGAATTAATTCATTGTAGAGTCAAAGAAAAAAAAAAAAATACTTTTCGTCCGCTTAAGCCCGATCCATAAGCACACACCATTGGAGTACGATAATTTATCGCAAAGTTACTTTCATTCTGTATATCCCTCTAACCATGAAATAATATTTTTCCGAGATTTGACTGCACTTTTTTCCAACAACTCAAAACAGTGTCTGTGTTCTTATGCCATTGCGCTTAAATAAGAGGCTTGTTAGTAGGAGGCGATTACTTTGCCGAATTCAGTTGATTTCCGAATTTCGACCGAGAGAAAGAATGAAAAATTATTTCATATCAAAGCTCTAAGATCGTAGCAATGATTTAAACGACATGACGAATCACACGCAGACCTTATTCGAGAAATGTTTAAGGCGAGTCCCTTAATCACTAACTACGCACATGTTGTAGGATAAAACTATAA